AGGGAGGGTGGCCTTGGGCTGGCAATGACAGTGCTGGGGCTGGGGCTGCGGAGATAACCACCCCAGGAGGGGTTGCAGGTGAGGGAGAGGGAGGGAGCTGGGATTTGGAATGGCCATGGGACTTGATGGTGCAGGGTACAATGCAACTGAGCCTGAGAGGCCGTGGGCTGGAGGACTAGGATGGGGCACGTGGGGCTCACCTTCAGGGTCCAGCAGACGCGCCAGCCCCAGGTGCTGCTCCGCTGTGCGGAAGGCTTTCTGCAGGTTATAGTTGGCGTTGGACTTGGCGAGTTTGCTGAAGTCCACGAGGTCGGGCCTGGACAGGGGCACAGAGCAGGCAGGCACAGGCAGGTTCCAGGGCCAGCGACCAAATGAACAAAAAGACTCCAGCCTGAGCTCCACCCAGGAAGGGGGTGGGGCATAACGCCACGAAGGGCAAATCTGTGTGGCAGTCTTGGGGCCAGGCAGCACACATCTGCCACCTGAGGGAGAAGGACTCGGGCACGTGCATTTCTGGGACTGTGTGTCCATTTATCACCAGGTCCCATGCACAGAGGTGTGAGTTGGCCTTGTGCAAATGTAGGCACGTGGGGGAGATGTGCATGTCTCTCTCAAAGGATCCAATGATACATGTGTCTAGCCTTCATGTCTGTCACATGAAGACACGGGCTTTCGGGTTTGTTTTTTTTTTTTTTCATTTTTATCGGTACCAAGGATCGAACTCACGACCGCCTGCTTGCAAGGCAAGTGCTTATGCCGCTAAGCTAAATCCCCAGCCCCAGGACACGGGCTTTCAACACTCATATCTACTCAGGTGAGTTCATGTACAGTATTATGTCACGGTTAGAAACCTGAAGTGTAAAGTGGATGATGCACACCTGTAATCCCAGCACTCTGGGAGGCTGAAGCAGGAGGATCCCACTTCTGAGCCAAGGCTCTGAATTTTCCTGACTTAGTAAGTCCCTGTCTCAAACATTTTTTTAAAAATATTTTAAAATGGAGCCAGGTATTTAGCTCAGTGGTGTAAGCACCTGCCTGGCATGTGCCAGGTCATGAGTTCAATACCCAGTGCCAAGAAAAAAAAATTTATAGTCTGGGGATATAGTTCAGTGCAAAAACCCTGGGTTTCACCCTAGTACTATCAAAAAAAAGTGAGGGCTAGAACCAGCCCACCAGGGTTCAAGGCCAGCTTGATCACATCCTGATTGTGTCATTCTGGGTGAGCTATTTCATTTCTCTGAACTTCAGTAATATGGGAATAACAATAATAGTGAGTGCCTGGTAGGGTTATTAAATATGAAATGACTCAATGGAGGCCAGGTGTGGTGGTGTATACCTGTAATTTCAGCACCTGGGAGGCTGAGGCAAGAGGATTGCTTCAAGAGTTAAAGGCCAACCTGGGCCACATAGTGAGTTCAGGGTCAGCCTGAACTAGGAGTGAGACACCATCTCCACCAAAATAAATGGGCTCCGGATATAGTTCAGAGGTGTAAGTGCCAGCCTGGCAAACAAGGTCCTGAGTTCAATTCCCGATACCAAAAAAAAGAGAAAAGAAAAAGAAATGACTCAGTGGAAAGCACCGGGACAATGCTTGGCACAGAGAAAGCACTTGGTAAACGTCAGCTAGCATTTTCATGACCCTGGTTATAGTTTGTAGGTTTCCATACGATGGGCTGGGCACAGGTCTCGCCATGTGCATACAAGTATATGCAACCCACTCCAGGAAAAGCTGGCAGCTGGCTTTGGCCCACAACTGAGCAGTCTCTGGGCCTCAGTTGTTCATCTCTCACGTGGGTAATCATGATGAGGGTGTCATTTTTCTGGCTGCCCAGCCCTCAGCCAGCTGGGCATTGAGTCCTGAGGTATGAATATGTGACTGTGTCAAAAGCTAGGAAGGGGGCCCCAGGGACACCCTGTGAGGTGTGAGGTAGGATTTTCAGATGGGAGGTGTGGCATATCTTCCAGCATAGAGAGACGCCCCGGGGTGTGTGCTTCTCACCCTGGGGCATCAAAGCATCTAAGTGGCTGGCAGCAGGTGCAGGCTGTAGGTGTGCACAGATATCTGCATGTGTGGGGGTGTATGTGTACCTGTCTGTGCACAGGGTATGTGGCCTGGACAGGAGTCTGTGCAATTGTGCACACCTGTGTGAAAATGTGAAGGGCACCTGTGTGAGAAAAGTTGAAGAGAAGGGTCCCCTGGGGTGTCGTCTGTACACAGCACTTGTACAGGAGTGCAGCTCTGGGGATACGGGGCTGGGGCAGGCAGGGCCGGGCTGTGCCTCCAGGGCTCCTCGGTACCTGTGCCGATGAATGAGGGCATTGAAGGCCAAACCATCCCGCCAGCTGGTGGTGAAATTCTGGATGTTTACCTCGGGGTAACTGGCAGTGGAGAGGGGGAGCAGAGGGAGAGATGGAAGAGTCAAGAGGGAAGGAGGGAGGGAGGATGTGGAAGGATGGACGAGGAGACGGATGGATAGAAAGAGATAAGGACGACAGGTAAGCATGGATGGAAATGAAGAAAGACAGGAGAGGGGAGAAAAGGCAGGGAAGGAGAGAAGGAGGAGACAGAGATGGGGAAAGAGAAAGAGACAGGAGGGAAGAAAGGAGGGACAAAGAGGCAGGAAAAGAAGTAGGGGGTGGGGTCAGGGGCAAGATAGGTCAAGGAAAAACAGATACAGGGGGAAAGAGATGCATCAGATTCTCAGCCTGCCAGAAAGAGGAGTCAGACAAAGCCCCTGCATCCCACCCCTGCCCCTACCCTCCACCCTCGCCCCACATCCACCTGGCCAGGGCCTGTTCTCCCCAGGGCACTGCAGTCTTAGGACGTATTTTATTTGCCCATTTAATTCAGATGGAAATTTTGACACAGGCCATGGGCTCCTCCTTAAGTTCTTGTCCCAGAAGGAAACCCAAGAGTTGGGGGACTACCTGCCTGTGAGAAGGGGGTGCTCACCCAGCTGTCTTCATCTGGCACCACAAGAGCAGAGCATCCTTGGCTGAGCGTGTCTCCCTGTTGTCCTCAGTCTCGATTTTGATGACCTGAATCTGCGAAAGCACAAACATGGCTACTGAGCCGGCAGGGCTTGAGCCTGGGGGATCCTGGGGGACGCCCACCCTCACTGCACCGGGGAGGGGGAGGGGAAGAGGTAGCTTCTGGATGACGTAGAGGCTCTGGGCCCCCAATTGTGGTCACTACCTTCCACCAGAGGGATCCTTCTAAGTCCCATTATGCATCACCTCTTGTTATTCCCACCGCAGGACCTTGGTGTCTGCTGTGCCCTCTGGCTAGAACTGGAACACAGTCACCTTTTCTTTTCTTTCTTTTTTTTTTTTTTTTTTTTTCTTTTGAGCCAGGGTCTCCCTTTGTAACTCAGGCTGGCCTTGAACTCAAAATGACTCAAAATGATTCTCCTACACCACCATGCCTGGCCTCCCTTCATCTTTTTTGTCGTTTGGTCGCCAGCTTCTCAGATAGTCCTTTTCTGACCACCACATGTAAAACCTCAACACCACAAACCTGATATTTATCTATTTTAATGCTTTAAGTAATTCTTCCTGCAAAGATTTTAAAAATTCCTTTTCTAAGTTGACAGCAGAAAAAACAATTTTTTAGTTCTTCCAACCAGAGCTGTTCCTTTTTCTATATATGTCTTATTTATTGATATTCTTATTTTCTGACTCCCTGACCACAATACAGTCTCTCCAATGAACAAAATTCATCCGTTTCTGTCCTGGAGCAATTCTGCAGCAGCAGAATCTGAGAGCCAAGGCCCACTGAGTGTGACTTCCAGCACAGGATCTCGCCTATTGGCTTCCTCACTGGTAAAAACAGGGTAATAGGTAATATTTAATACCTAACGGATGAGCTGCTGTGGGTTTCAAAGTGCCTGAAGTGCCTGAATCAGAGTAAACAATAGAAAAAGGATGATCATCGTGATAAGGCGATAATGACAGTTTTAAAAATCATTTTCTTCGGAGCTGGGGATTTAGCTCAGCAGGCATAAGTGCCTGCCTTGCAAGCAGGCAGTCGTGAGTTCGATCCCTGGTATCGATAAAAAGGAAAAAGACAAAAAAAAAAAAAAAAATCATTTTCTTCACAACCTATGTTTGGAAGGAAGAATGGAAGGCATGAAGAATGGGTGAGGACCCCTCCTGAGGCCACACTGGGGGTGGGGGTGGGGTGGTTACCCTGGGCAGAGATCATTTGGGGATACCTGAAAGCGCAGGATAATGGTCCAGACCAACCCCAACGTCAGCCGGTGATTCCCGTCCACGATGTCGTGCGATCCCACGTTTTCCAAGTGGACGCGCTGCTCCTTCAGGAATTGCAGCGCCTTGTCCACGTTCTCCAGCGAGTGGATCCGCATGCGGCCGCGCGTGGGCTTCGGCTAGGGTAGCAGAGGCGTTGGGCCAGGGAACCTGGCCCAGAGCAAGGCGCCCTCGGCCCCGCCCCTCTCAAGCCACGCCCATACACATATAAACCACGCCCCTTCTCTGGCGTCCCACCTCCAACCTCTAGCCACGCCCCACTGGCCTCTTCCAAAAGTTCTGCCGCTTTTGTTTCTTTTCCTTTTTCTTTCCTTTGATTCTCTTTTGTTTCTGAAAACTGCACCCAAGGCCTCTACCTCAGAGCTAGATCCTCAGTGTTTCTTATTTTGAAACAGTGTCTTACAAAAATCTCTACATTGCCCAAGCTGGGCTCAAATTTTTTGATCCTCCCTCCTCAGCCTCCCAACCTGCTGAGGCTGCAGGCATGATCCCACTACCTCAAACTTTAAATTCCTGTTTTACAGCCATGCCCTTGGCTACCCATTACCTGGGCCCCTTTTTCCAATAAATCGCTTTATAATCCAATTAAACCCCTGCCGACCGTCGGAGCCCCACCCCTCCCTGTGGTGGACTCCAACCCATCCCGCGACGGCTACGACCCGCCGCCCACAGCCACAGGGCCGCCCCTGGTGCCAGCCCTTCAGCCCACTCACCAGCTGCTCCCCCGACAGCACTTCCAGGAGCCGCGTGAGCACGAAGCCGTCCCGGAGGTCCGAATAGAGGTCGGCGATGTGGCAGCCCACGCGGGCGAGATGCGAGTTCACCCACTTGGTGAAGGTTTTCTTCTGCACGGCCTCCCGCTCATCTGGAAGACAGCGCTGGTGAGCCTGGCCCCCAGGAGCTCTGACGCCCTACCTGCTGCTCCACAGCCTCCAGCAGCCTCCACCGCCCCCGCCAAACCCTGGCCATGCCCAAGGCGTGGACAGCATCTCCTCCAACCTGGGAGATTCCCCCTGCCCACAGTGCCCACCTGGTGCCCTCGCCTCGTCCTCGAATTCTCCTGAAATATCGCTTCCACAGGAGGCCGCCCTGTGTATCACCCTAGCTGCAAACTGAGGGCCCAGTGTCTCTGCACTGTACAGGCAATAAGCTAGCCGACGCCGGGCACCATGAGGGTTTAAGGTGAGGTCAGGGGATGCGGTCCCGGAATTTCACCGGCTTCTGTGAGGACAGCAGTAGAGCAGAGAGGGCAACAGCAACAGCCAGAAGCCCAGGGAGGAAGGAAATGGGGAAGAGACCCAGAGGAGAGAGGTGTGGCTCAACCCGGGCAGAAGACGTGGAAAGGGCCGAGAGGTCATACTGGACAGTTGGAGATTCAAAGCAAAGTGGCCTACAGTGTAGGAGTACGTGTCTGTAGTCCCAGCACTCAGGAGGCTTAGTGCTAGATAGGGAGTTCAAGGCCAGGCTGAACTATATAGCAAGAGATTGTCTAAAAAAAAAAAAAAAAAAATCCCTTTTTGGTACCAGGGATTGAATTCACAATCTTGTGAATTGCCAGGCAGGGGTTTGTGACACTAAGCTAAATCCCTAGCCTCCCCCCCCACCAAATCCCCTTTTAAAGTATAAAATTCAGTGGGATTTGTTGTGGTTGTTTATGTGTTTGTTTGTTTTGACACATCCTTGCCATTAGCTCATGCTGGCCTTGAACTCACAGTGATCCTCCTGCCTCATCAGCCTCCTGAGTACTGGGATGACAGGTGTGTACCACCACATCAGACCAGTGTTTTTTTTTTTAGCGTATTAGAGTTTACAAGCATCAGAGCATTTGCACTGACCAAAAAAGAAACTCATACTTATTAGCAGTCATTTCCCCCACAATCAGGAAGCTACTTTCTGATTGTGAACCTGCCTGTCATGCAGATTTCATAGAAATAGAATCATATAATATATAGCCTTGTACATGCCCAGCTTCTTTTACACAGCATAATGTTTTGAAGAGTCATCCATGTTGTCACAAGGATCAATACTATATTCCTTTTTATAGCCAAATAATATTCTATGGTGTGGATATTTGACACCTTATCTCAGCAACTAATGGACAGTTGGGGTCTTTCCACTTTTTAGTTATTATAAATAGTGTCATTATGGGCACTTGGGTACAAGTTTTTTTTTTTGCACGCATAAGATTTCAGTGATCTTGGGTAAATTCCTACATACCTGGTGATGCCTAAATCACCAAAAGTATGAAACTTTGTATATTAATTTTTTCTTTATATATGTATTATAGAGTTTAATTCATAAATCTGGCATAGAGAAAATGATCAAAAACTACAATAGAGCAATTATAACAAGATATTATAATAACAATAATTTAAAACGTAAGTTGTTTAATTAATGGAATTTTTCTTGTATTATTTTTGGATAACAGGTGACCATAGGAAATGAAACCTCAGAAAGTGAAATTTCACCTAAGAGAGGCTACCAAATACCTAGGAGTAGTTTCCAGGTCATATGGTAACTCTGTTTAACTTCTCAGTGAACTGCAAAACTATTTTTCCAACTTCACTGAACCATTTGCCTTTCCCACAAGCAAAGTACCAGGGTTCCGATTCTGTATCTTTGCCAGCTTAGTGTTGGCTATGAAGTGCTATTTCATTATGGTTTGCATTTGTGCTTCTCTAATAGCTAATGTTGCTGAGCATCTTTCAGTGTCATTACTGACCATTTATCCTTCTTTGGAGAAATGTCTATTGCAATCCTTTCCCCATTTTAAACTTATCTGGCTGGGCGTGGTGCTGCATGCCTATAATCCCAGCACTGCAGAGGCTGAGGCGGGAGGACTTCCATGAGTCTGAGGCCAGCCTGGGCTATGTGGTGAGTTCAAAGCTAGCCTGGACTACATAGCAAGAACCTGTCTCAAAAACAGATAAACAAATAAATAAGTAAGTAAAATTACCTCATGTTTTAAATCATCTGTACTATCTTTGCAACTCCCTATGAATTTATGATTAGCTCATAATTAAAAATTGTGTTTTGTTTAAAACATAATTAAAATTTAAAACATAATTAAAATTTGTGTTTTGTTCTGTTAACTTGTGTTTTGTTCTGTTTAAGACAGGGTCTCACTGTATAGTTCAAGGTGGCCATGAACTCACGATGTGGCCCAAGCTGACCCCAGACTCAAGGCAATCCTCCTGCCTCAGCCTCTTGAATGCTGGGGTTACAGGGATGCACCACCATGCACAGCAAAAATTGTTTTTAAAAATGAGCCAGGGATGATGGTACAGGCTTGTAATCCTAGCTCCTTGGGAAACTGTAGCAGGATTATAAATTCCAGGCCAGCCTGGGCAACTCAGCAAGATCCTGTTTTTAATTCTTCTTCCTCTTCCTCTATTCTCCGCCTCCTCCTCTTCTTTCATTTTTTTGAGACAAGGTCTTACTAGGCAATTCAGGTTGATCTTGGTACAGCATGGCCTGGAACTCACAGCAATCTTCCTGCCTCTGCCTCCCAAGTGCTAGTATTGCAGGCATGTGCCATCTTGCCCAGCAAGACCCTATCTTGCAAGAAAGAAAAAAAGAGGGCCAGGGATTTAGCTCAGTGGCACAAGCACCTGCCTGGCAAGTGTGAGGTCATGAGTTCAATCCCTGGTATCTCTTGCCATTCTCTTCCTTTCTCTGACACTTATAACCTTGAACCCCAGAGCCCACAGGGCACAGGATGGAAGACCCCAGCAACCCACTGACTTTCTTGGCATCTCCCTGATCACTGGGGCCTCCTATCAGAGCTATCTGGAGGGAGGATGAGGCTGCTATTTCCCTACAGCTCTGAAATGCTGGATTTATTTGCTATAACACCTTAGCAGCCACAGTTACTATATGAATTGCATTACTAAATAATGTACTGGAGATAGAATGCAGGACTTTTGCACTGAGCCTCAGATCACTGATTAATTGATTGATTGATTTTTTTTGAGACAGGGTCTCACTATGTACTTCAGACTAGCCTTGAACTCACCTTGAAGCCCAGGCTGGTCTCAAATAAGGCAACCCTCCTGCCTCAGCCTCCTGAGTGATGGGATCACACACACGCACCATCATGCCCAGCCCTTTTTTATTTTTTATTTTAAGATGCTAAATCACCCAGGCTGGGCTTGAACTTGTGATCGTTCTATCTTAAGCACCCCAGAGTCCTGGGATTATAAGCAGGCTCCACTATGCTCAGTAGGTTTTAAATTATCCAGACAAAGCCAGGTATGGTAGTGCCCATCTGTAATCTCAGCACTCAGGAGGCTGAGGCAGGAGGATCGTTGCAAGTTCGAGACCAGCCTGAGCTACAATGTGAGCTCAAGGCCAGCCTGAATTGCATAGAGACCCTGTCTCAAAAAAAAAAAAAAAAAAAAAGACAAAAAAATAAATAAATTATTAGGACAGGAATAAAGATGTGTATTTCCTATCTCATTCCCCTTTTGGACCATTTGAAATCTCTCGATAGTTACCTTTTCACACAAAATACATCTTTTTGTAGCACCCTTAAGTATTCTATTTTACACAGAGTTGAAAACATACATTGATCAGCTTTGTGTTCGAGTTGCACCTTAAATGCGTATAGTCCCAACTAATTTGAAAGCAAGTTCGAGATGCTGACAATGAATCCAAATGAAATACCTTGATTGTTTACCCGTGGGTTTTGTACTGTTTAGACAGGATGGGGGCCTGTGTGGACACATGGCCATGAGTCATACATGAGGAAGGACAGGAGGAAAGCCCCGTGACGAGGGCCTCGAAGCTCTGCATTCCAACAGCCAGTGCTCACGCCAAAGAGTAGACTGGCGTGAAGTCAAGGTGGGACTTCCATGCATCTCCACGGCAGCACCAGAATGAGCACAGGTGGATTCTCTACCCCTCCTGACAGTGGCTGTGCAGCTTCTCAAAGCCATCTTCCTTCTCCGGGCCTCTGTCTTCTCATGCATCAAAAGAGGTTTTCAGCTCAGTATAGTGGTTTCTGACTATAACCGCAGCACTCTGGGAGGCTGAGGCGAGAAAATCACAGGTTCAAGCCCTGCCCATGCAACTTAATAACTTAGTGCAATCCTGTCACAAAATGGGGTCCAGCTGAGGATATAGCTCAGAGATCCTGGGTTCAATTGGCAGTACTAAAGAAAAAAGGGGAGGTTAGACTAGGTATGGGTTTCCTCTATAGGTTCTTTTTAAAAATTTTTATTTATTTAGGTTTTTTTGAAGCAGGGTCTCCCTACATAGTTCAGGTTGGCCTTGAACTCATTATGTAGCCTAGATGGTCTTTGAACTCATGGTGATCTTTCTGCCTCAGACCTCCAAGTGCTGGAGTGACAATATTATTACTTTTTTTTTTTTTTTTTTGGTGCTGGGGATTGAACTCACGACCTTGCGCTTGCCAGGCAAGCACTTATGCTGCTGAGCTAAATCCCCAGCCAATATTATTATTTTTGAGACAGAATCTTGCTGTGTACTCCAGGCTTGTCTTGAATTCATTATGCAGTCAAGCCTAACCTCGAACTCATGGCAATCCTCCTGCCTCAGCCTCCAGAGTTGGTATTATAGGCAGGTGCTACCATGCCTGGCCCCCTATAGGTTCTTAAGAACCCATATTAGAGGGAGCTAGATGCATGACATTTATAGTTTTTGGTGCTGTGGATGGAAGTCAGAGTGCATCTGTGCTAGGCAAGCCCTCTATCATTGAGCTATATCCCAGGCCCTTGAAATTTTTACTTTGAAATGGAGTCTCACTAAGTTGCTCAGGCTGGCCTGGAATTTTCAGTCTTCCTGCGTCAGTCTCACCCGACAGTTGGGATTATAGGTGTGTGCCATCACTCAACACCCATGAAAATATCTTTTGTTTTGTAATTGTATTTCAATGGCACCCAAAGAAAACCACTAAAAACTTATCATGGGCCACTGGGTGAGGACTTCATAAAGGGCGATGTCCAGAGATTCAGGGTTTTGTGATCACAATCTCCTTAGCACAGAGCAGAGATCAGGAACAGAAGCCAAGGGCCAGAGATTTAGCTCAGTGGCATAAGCACCATCCTGGCAAACTCACATTTATGAGTTCGATCCCCTGTACCAAAAACAAAAAAGAAACAAGCAAAAGAACAGAAGACAAGCAGGCTGCATACTGCGATAACTAGGACCTCCTAAAAAGAGCAGCATAGCCTGTCACAGTGGCGCACACCTGTAATCCCAGAAGTATGGGAGGCTGAGGCAGGAAGACTGCAAGTGTGAGCCCAGGCTGGGCAACCTCTCAAGATCCTGTCTCAAAGAATAACTTTAAAAAGGACTATGAGGGCCAGGGATTTAGCTCAGTGGTATAAGCACTTGCCTGGCAAGCATGAGCAAGTGCAAGTTTGTGAGTTCAATCCCCAGTACCAAAAAATAAAAGGGCTAGGAATGAGCTCAGTGTGAAGACTCTGAGTTCAAATCCCCAGCACCCCTCAGCAGCCCCACAGCTCACAGGCACGGAGGCTTAGTGCTGCCATATCAGATGACTTTGCTTGAAAAGCCAAACAACCTTCTATCTCTGTCTCTCTCTGGTATTGGAGATTGAACCCAGGATCTTTGCACTGAACGACATTCCTCGCTCTTTTCTTATTTTATTTTTTGAGACTGGGTCTTACTAAGTCACTAAATTGCCCAGCCTGGGCTGGAAGTTGTAATCGTTCTACTTCCGCCTCTCAGAGTGTAGAATCACAAGCACACCACATCCAGCTAACAGCTACTCTTTCATCCCTCACTGGCTAAGGGGGTGGGGGTGGGGATTTCATATGTACATCATAGGTGTGGCCACTAGTCTGGGAATTGTTGGGAAGTGAAGATTAGCAAATATCACATTGGTAGAAATGTGGGGCTATCCTAAGCCCTCGTGCCCCCTGTCCGGGTGGAGACTGAGGTGGCAGGAAGCCATCTGAGCCTTCAAAGCCAAGTGAAAGCATGGCACAGCTCCGGGACCCAGCGACTCGGTCCCTTAGATGTGCATTCCCAAGACCGTTCTCACACTGGTTCCCAAGGGTCGGTGAGCAACGGGTTCACCGTTGAAGAGTATCTGTTGTGGAGAGGAGCTTGAAAGCAGGAGGCAGCCTGCTTGTTGACTCAAAACACTGCAAGAGCATGAGACAGTGGCCCTTCTATGATTTGAATAAGGTCTGTCCCTTCTGAAATACAAGCTGAAATCTGCTCCCGGGGCCACAGTGTTGAGAGGTGGCAGGAGTTTAAGGGGCTGAATGGAGGAGGCTCGTGCAGCATGGTGAGCCCCAGAGTTCCACCCCCAGGAAGGGGTCCTGGCTCCCTTGAGAAGGGGTAGTTAGGGTGGAGGTTATTAGAGGGCAGGGTTGCGCATCATGCAGCCTCTTCTACCCACCCACCTGCCTGCTAGGATGGGAGAAGCCTTCCTGGAACCCGAGCAGGCCCAGCCAGCCGCACTCTTGAACTTTCCAGCTTCCTGAACCAGGAGCTCAACAGCCTTTGCTTTACCACAAGGTGATTGAAGCCAGGGGCATTCAGGGTACAAAAGTGCTCTACCACGGAGCTACATCCCCTGGATATAATTATATGTCATATTAATCCAACATTATGCAAACACTTTACACATTTATACATGAGATACACATTTTAAATATACCAATTAAAAATAAAAATTACATCATAAATACCGTTTCCATTGTCTAGTATGAAGTAATTACCACCAACCTGCCAGGATAATGAATGCACCCAAAGCGAGTCTTATTGTTTTCCTTTCATATTTAGCTTATAAACTAAATGATATTTATTAAAAGTTTAATTATTTTAATAGTTCTTCCCTTCCTTTCTATTTTATTTTGAGATAGGGTATTTCTATGATGCCCAGGTTAATCTCACACCTGTGATCCTCCTGACTCAGCATCTCAAGAAACTGGGAATATAGGCATCTAACACCACTCAGCGAATCCTGCTTCAGTGCTGGTGAACCTGCGGCATGTGTGTTATTGGGTTTTTCTTTTAAGACAAAAGATGATAGTGTAGAGCTTTTTTTTTTTTTCTAAATGAAAACCTCAATATTCAGGTTTAATTGCAGTGTTGG